AGAGATGGAACGGGTCAGAAGGACAACATGAGGAGACAGACTTGGAAAGATGTATTGATAACAGATCATGATGATAAACTGTGGATCCATTGCTGGCTGAATTGTCCTATGTTTTTGTTTTATCGTTTTCATTTCCTTGTCAGCCACCTTTTAATATAGTAGATCAAACACTTATCCAAAGTCCTCTCCCCTCTGTATGAACGAGTTGCACATGTGCTTAGGGCTGCACAATGTGAAACTAGTGAAAATATAATTCAGAATAAGCCTACCTCTTCTGGTGCACATCGTCCGAAGAAAACACTATTATCATTTAATGATAATGTGAATACTTTTTAATTCCCTCTAATATTGCGAATCATATCCCAATTGCAATATTAGTCCATATTATCACAAATACATATTTTTTAAATCCTGCAGCCCTACATATGCTTTTTTATGGCATGATTAGGGAGGGCTTTCTATGTATATCAGATAGGGCTATAAGCCGGCAGTTAGACTGTATGTGGGTGTGCAGCAGAGACGGGAGCTGCTCTGAGTCTGCTGTTAAACTCTCCCATTGTTGTGTGCCGCCTTCCAACGCCTGTGTCTGCCTGCGTGGTTTGATGATGTTGTGCATGTATATCTTGTTCTGTGTGTGTTCTCGTCCACTTGCTTTACTATGTGCCAAAGTGCGTGCGTGCGTGCGTGCGTGCGTGCGTGCGTGCGTGCGTGCGTGCGTGTGTGTGTGCGTGTGTGTGTGTGACATCTGAGGCTGCCTGCTCTGGAGGAGAGGCAACACGTGAGGGGAGCTCCTTGCTCCACATCTGACCCTGCTGTTATCAATCAGGCCTTGAGAGGAGATGGGGGAGGAGGGAGAAAAGGAGAGAGGAGAAGAGATGGAGGACAGAGTGGGAGGATAGAAGAGGAGCTACAGATGGCAGGGGCTGTTTTTTAGGCAGAGGAATGGGGAGAGACTCTGGAAAAGATGGAGGAAGGGATAGCAATAAGTGTGATTGGATGAGATTGTATTAAGTTAAAGTTACAATAACACACAAACAAGTATTTTGATATGACTAAATACAAGTTGAGTGTAGGAATTTTTAATGGGGAAAAAAGCCAGTAAAACTGTAACAAGAAACCTTTATTTTAAATGATTTGTTTGATAATAAATCATAAAAATAATTAATTTTAATAGATTGTTCACCAATCCGATACAAAGAGCAATGCTTTTTTTTTTTAATGCAACAAAACATAAATTCATTCAACTCAGACAAACTAAAAGTATTTTTAGAATATGAATTGAATATTTATTTGATCTATTATTAATGAAAGAACAATAAATCCGAAGTGGTCAGCTGTCCTCTGATTCATGAAATGGACACACATTGGCCGTTTAGGTGAAAGAAGTGTCTCTGGTCAGCGGCTGCCTCTTTATCATATGTACGCTCTCAAATGAATTATTCTCACACAGAGAATCCATGAGTTGTGAGGATTTATCATCTACAATAAAATCAACAAATGAATAGTCGTGACACATTCATAGTCTACATGGCTACTTTCATTCATGGACCCATCCCCAAGCATGATCCACCCCCCGTCGCTATTTCATTCTGCCAATTTCATTCGTTTGAATCGATGAAATCCTTCAAATGTTGGCCGTTTAGGTGAAAGAAGTGCCAAAGCTTGCCAAAGTGGCTTATGTAATGAACAGCCAAATATTTCCTGAGTTGTGCCGTTTCTATTCAAGGAAGCAGAGCAGCATCCCCCCCCCCCTAGCCACATGCAGAGTGGTCGGAGGGGAACCAGGAGGTGTGAGCGCTACAGGTGGGCGGACAAGTGACAGAGCTGTCCAAATGTAATCTGTTTGTCTTGAACTCGCCCACTTGAGAGCTAGACGTTACTTCTGCAGTTTAGGTTAGGTTCCCTTAACAGCCACTGACTGTGTCGCAGGATCCGAAAAGGTGATCTGTAAGGTATTGAAATCGGAGGTGTCCGAGGGTAGATGGTGAGATTCATGATTTGGCCTCCCCTCCAGCTAACAGGCTGATTTATTGGCAGACACTCACACAATTGGCTGCAAGAGAAATCAATGGGAGACACTAGGCAGGGGCGGATGAACTGTTCCCTTTTCCCCCTAATTCACTTATTCACTCAGGGGTCTCTCTCTTCTTCTCCCTGCCTCAATGATTTTCTCTCTTTCCCCGGTTCATGTTTGTTTTCTCTGAATCGCCCCTCATCACGTGCTGTAGTCATCCTCATATCCTGTGTTCATCTGCCTTTTTTTGTATATATACACATAACACATCTCTTGTTTCTTTCTCTCCATCTGTCTGTCCCCCTTTCTCTTTTTTTAATCCTTCTTCATCATATTGGCATTTGCTATATATTTATTTGTACTCCCTCCTCTCTATCTCCGGTTCTTTTTTGACGTCACTATTGATCCCACCCCTTCTGTCCGTCTTTTTGTTTCTCCCCCCTTTTTCTCCCTCAGTCCTCCTCTCTTTCCTTTCCTCTCCCCCTCTATCTCTCTCTTCTCTCCATCTGTGAATACTTTAATGGCAGCGAGTGGGTGTGCAGATAGGAAGAGAACGTGAGGATGGGGGGGGGGAGTGATGATCTGCCACTTGTTACAAGCTGGGTAGAAGAAGGGGCTGGATGGCGGCCGAGTAGGGGGAGGAAGGGGGGGAAGCGTTGTTATGGTGATGAGATCTTCTTTGTATTAGGTTTCCAAGGCAACTTGAGGCGTACACACCAACACATTGGAACACACAAAAAGCATGTACACACACACACACACACACACACACACACACACACACACACACTTACTTGTATTATGTCCACCTACTCTTGACTGATAAAACTGCATTTGATGGGGACCCATGGTGACAATACCTGATGCATTATTTAAATTGACCGGGACTGAACTCACGCCATTTTGTTAATGCTTTATTATAAATCCTGTTATTATTTTGCTTGTATTCATTACCCAACAAACAAGATGATTCACTAGTTGTATTGTATGTGCTTTGGTTGAGTTTTAAAGCAAGAGTAACCCCAAACCACTGGATACTTCACTGTAATGGAGAAGAGTATGAAACAAGAGCGAAACAACCACTTAACACTGTATATGAAGATAGAAATACTGACTTGAACCAAGTTTAGCAGCAATTGGTCAGACAGTTCGTTTTTTCCACCTCTCCATCAAAACAATTCCGTGCTCCCGGCTTGGTTTGCTTCCATGGGCAGACCTTCAATTGTGCGTGTAACATTTGTGTTGGTCTTTGTGCTGCGGTACCTGCAGCGATCTGACCCGGCTCATGCGTCTGACTTGGATCAAAACAAATCATTTTAAGCTGTTTGGAATGTGTCCTCCTGGTAGGTGGTTAGTTCGAGTTTGGAAGGGCAAGGGGATTGCATTGTAGAAAACAAAAAAAGTTCAATTGTAAAAATTAGGTCGCTGAAATGATCATTCGCAGATGTAATGCTAACAACACCTGTGGAAAGGTTGTGAATGACCCCTAATTACACATTGTGTGTATTCTATGAAGCAGCCACCGCTAATATCATTAATGTGTGAAAAATCTATTTTCTGCTAATCTTCACAACCCCATTTTCAATGGCAATTCACGAGGGAATAGCAAGATAGGTAATGACACACAACGAAGGTCCCTGTCCAGATGCAAATTGCGGACATTAAAGTTGGTTAGCACCTTAACCTAACTGAAGCCTTTAAAAAGTGGATGCTTATGGCTTCCCCAGTCAGTTTTACAATTGATGGTATGGTTTGTTCATGTGAAAGAATGTATGTTTCAGCAGTGAAAGAGAGGTTTAGGTTTGATAGGAGTCATGGGAAATAGATAACTAATGATTAATGGGTTTAGTGATGTTAAAGCCTGTAGTCGTTTATCTTACATATGACTGATTCATTTTCCCATGGAAGTTTTAGTCATACCCATATTTATCTGCTGTTTTATTTGTGTATTTGAAGTCAAATGAAATCAAACTGAGAACACGGTTGTATGTGAGTGTGGTTAAAGCTAGCCTGCCCCTTTTTTCTTCTATTCCTTTTCTCTGTGCGTACGCTACACAGGTCAGGGTGAGGTTGAGAGCTGTAATCCGGCAAAGACGCTGTGGCTGATTCTCCTGTTGTCTTGCTATGAGAGCATGTAAATATATTGTCATTTACCAGACACAATAGTGTGGTATTTAACATTGTTGGAACCACACAGTTTGGATTTCTTGGCATGAGTGCAGCTTACAAAATGACACATGGGAGGAAAGCTGTCAAAGTAGAGCTGATTTGCTTGCTTCTGTGTAATTATTGCTCTAGTCTTACCTTTTGCTCATATCCTTATGTAACTAAACCAAAAGCAGTCATACGAGTCAATCCAACATGACGCTTGCTGTGTAAACATAATGCTAGTTATCCTCAAGTGTTTTTGGCATTGTGTGCACAAGTGGATCACCTGAGGCTAATGTCTGTTACAACATAGAAAATCAATTGCGTAACCGTTTTGTCTTCTTAGAATTCTTTAAAACGTCCTTCAAAAACACTAATCTCCGTCCTCCTCAGGTTAAAGAGATGAAGTAAGAAACCAGACTCGGATGCAGAAGACGGAGGGAGGGAGGGAGGGAGAGGAGTTCTGAAGCTTTGGGAGCCTCACGGGGGAGGAAGGTCTGTTCCTTTGAGACGGATGAGGGGGCGAGGTATACAATAAATGACAGAGGGAGGGGAGATGCTAGAGAAACTAAGAATAGTGTTGTACTCGTGAGTGTATTACTAATAGTTGAACTGGAATCCTTGGTATAAAGAGGTGTAAGTCCTCTATAAGAAGATGGAGCTATATGTTTGAATGTCTTTGCTGCACAGTATTCTTTTTTTTTTTTGAGAACAGCTGGATTGGGATCGTAATAGCCAGAAGGATTTCTCACAATGTGGGCTATAACCTGCACGTATTCAGAGCTAAAAAGCAAGAGATAAAGAGAGACCAGACTCATAGGTCAAATAATTGAATCAGTTGCTTCAAATTGTTGTCTCTATTTTGGTTGTGGCTGGTAGGTTTGTCTGCGAGTCGTGTTGGCAGGCAACCAAAAAGGTTAGGAGAGTCCTTTCTATTCTTTAAAGTAAATTGAGTTGTTAAAAGGGAGAGTCTATAAGAAATAAGATGGAAGAACTTTTCTCAGTGGAGACTAGGGAAACTATTTAACCTGTGTGTCGATTTGGTGCCTCAAGTTTTGATGCGTTGAGGTTTTACATTTGCTCAGTCGCTTATGGCGCATTTCCACTACAGCGCGGAGCTCGCTTTAAGCGTGCCGTGCCCGGGCCCGTTTTTGGTTGTTTCCACTTGGCATAGTTCCGGCTAGCGGGTACTATTTCAGTTTTTCTGGCCCCATAAAATCGACGTACTTTCCGGGCCAACAACCAGGCTGAGTCGGGCGGCTGAGTATGCTAAACTAGAGAGAGAATCGCTGGCAAGGGGGCTACTACAACTACAACAAAATGAACATATTTGACCGTGATTTAATTGTAATACATCAAAATGATGCCGAAACATACTGATACCGGTTAGTAAAAACCATGAATTAATGCTTTGACAAGTCTGCAGACAGACGGCAGGCAAAAAACCTTTTTAAAATCCGTGTTTTCTGAATGGAGATCGGCTAAGCTAACGCAGTATATGCTCCGACCGTCCACACCCACAACAACGGCCTATACAGACATAAATAAACCAGCGACTGTATTCACCATGACACAGGCAGTCTGTGGTTTGTACTTGTTTAACTTTTGTCTAGTTTCTGAACAGATATGAGGAGCTGTGAGCTGGAGTGCTAACAGCTAACGGCTGATGTTGGTTTTCTGTGGTTCTCATTGAAGATGACATCACGGCTCCGCCTACACTGCGTTACTATAGTTACTGCCCCAGCTACTAAATTGTAATGGAAACGCAGCATAAAGTGAGCCAGTCCTAACAAGGCCTAACGAGGCCTAGCCATACCGAGCGAGGCCCTGTAGTGGAAATGCGCCAAGTTACACAAGTTTGTTTTCTCTTGACACAACCGATCACATGCAGATGTGCCATCTGAGCCACATTAGAGGGAAAACAAACAGCTTTATTTCCTCAATAGACTATCAAGTTATTGGTACCCTCCAGCACTGTTAAATGGCAGCTACAGATACAAACATCAAGCAAAAGTGTCTTTACAGAGACATTTTCTTTATCCTATTAGTAATGTATCAATCCCAAATCAAGTATAATTCATTGCTTACAACACACACTGACCCTCTCTCTGTTTCAACTGATTGCATTACCAACAACAATAACCATGCTGTCTTCTGATAAACGGACAGATCACATGCCACTGCTTTGTGGAGCAGGCTGCCTTTAAGGAGCTTGTTTAACAGAGCCACAGATGGTTGGTTTGCTTAATTTTGATTGGTTTATGGTCAGAACATACCATGGCCTGTAGGGAAATCATTATCGGCCAAAGACAGGTTTAGCTGCCGTTTAGCATATTTCCTGTGTTTGAACAAGGCTTACGTGTGGGCAGGCAAAAGGAGAGTTCAGATAGAGCAGACGCCTAACAAGTCTGAATGTATGGTAGGTATGTGATAGTTAACACATGCATACATAGTCATTTTATCTATGCAGGTAGTAACGCACATCTACTTACTACTATGTTTTGGATAATTCCTTAAAACAAGAGTGAAACCTTTTGGTAGACGTTGCAATTGTCAGTATCAGATCCGATCTTGTTACTTGATGTGTGTTGAGTGATACTAAAGAGGCGTCTCTGTGGAGAGTGGAGTGTTAAACTCTGTCCATCTCCCCAGGTGACCGGGGGGAAAGTGGTGTGCATGTGGGATTTTCCCTGAGGCTCCAGTCTTCACAGTCTAGATCTAATGGGCTCTGACAGGAGGGTAATAAGGTAGCAATGGACTCGCAGTGTGTGTATATGTGTGTGTGTGTAGCAGCAGCGGGCTAGATCCATGCTGACTAGTAACGGCCCAGCGTTATTAAACAGGTGTTTAAGACCTCTTTACATTAACATGCTGTTACACACATTCACAAGGTTTAGGGCCAGGTTTATGGCCAGGTTTAAGGCCAGGTTTATGGCCAGACATACTATGCAGCTACACACAGCAACACACAGACACACAGCATCACACACACACACACCCACACTGCACACACACACACACAGCACACACACCATCACACCACACGTCACACACACCACACACATACACACACACACACACAGACACACACACTACATTAACACACAGCACACAGTGACACACACACACACACACACACACACACACACACACACACACACACAACACACACACACACACACAACACAGCACACACAGGTTAACACATCACACACACACAACACCTTCTTTGGAAATTCTCCCACTTGGCACAGTTCTCTCTGTTCCACTTTATTTATTCCTGATTCTATTCATATCCAGCAGAAGGTAACTCATAGGCTTGTAGGCCTCCTCTCTCAGTTATTCTGAGTCTGCCTAGTGTAACCCAAGTGCACTGGGTTGAAAATCATGACCAGAATGATTAAACTCACATTACAGCTGCTGGTTAGACATTTGATCAGCGCGAAGGCATCCTCTTGCTAGCAGGATTTTGTTTCCCTGTGTTTGGTTTGATGTTGTTACAAACATTGGTTGCTTGTATCATCATCATCCGTGGGTCAAATGCTAGTTACATCACGAAGTAAGAGTCCACATTAACACACTGCTTTTTTTTTTCACCGAGACCACATAGACCTTTTTAAGTCATTGCCACAATGATTCATAATATCCAATGATATAAACATTATGGATGGGAACGATTCATAGATATTCAAATATTGATATTAATCCAGGTATTCCAATCAATAGTTATGATATTTTTAATTGTAGTTTCATTATTTATTTGCTTTCATAAATTGTCTTTTGGAGCGGTGCCTAAGTTGATTACTTATTATTCGCCAAATGGAGCGCTGATAAATTCAATCCCGATGTTTCAAAAGATATGACCATGCCATAGCTAAGTGTGTTAGGGTCTAACAGGTGTGGTTTGCTCCGCTTTACCCGGTCGTCGACAGCGGTCGGCAGAGACTGCAGGTGCTGATCTCGCTGTCTCACGTCCGTTATAATCTTCACACGCGTTTATGTCACCAATACATCAGATCTATGCATAGTTCTAGTAATGATATGGCTGCTGACCCTGCCTACACAGCAGATCACTGCAGAACTCAAACCTCATCTTATGCCGCAATTCGCAGGCTGAGAGAGGTCTTCTCTATCAGGCTGGCCTGATTGTGAATCGCCTCTGCATGCCTTCCTCTCCGCCATGGTAGACATGCTCATATTCTTTAACAAGTATGGTATCTGACAGTCTGCATTCTGTGCCATAGGCACCTGCTATCGGTTGTTGATCTCAGTTGTGATAGGGTTACGTTAGGCCCTAACCGTTTATGTTAGGAGCTTCGTGCACTTGTATGATCGCTCTTACATAATTTACAAACCAAGTTATGTTTAAGCATGCAAGCTGTAGGTCCTGAGCTGTCACTCGTTGTAACTGTGATCACCAGTCTCAATACATGTTGACAATTCGACTTGGTTTCTATACTTATTTGAATGTATTTATTTATTGTGTTTTTTGCAATTCCATCTTCTATTGTTCTTTTACGTTACTGTCTGAAATTTCTTTGCCCACTTTAAAAAAGAAATGTTATATACGGATATGTACGCTACATTTAGGCTAATCGGTTAACCGTTTTTTTTGGGGGTCGAATATTCGTAATATACATTTGGCTTTTCATAATTGACCATTCCTAATACACATGCGAGTAGAAAGAAATTTATATCTATAAAAGATGAAGCTATAAATAAGTGATTAGTTAGTTGCAGTTTTTGTCAATTGTAAAGATATTAGACCTTGAAAAGCGCTTGAAAGATAAATCTGGATGGCAGACTTTTAAGTATAGTACTGGTTAGCGCACTATTCAAATTAACAAGGAAATGCAAATAGAAAGAACATGAGTTTGCATTAAGGTGCTGGTTTACCTCACACTTGTGATGATTAACGGTTATGGTCAGGGGTAGATTGGGCTGAGAATGTTAATCACCCTGAATACGCTAATTCACATAGGACATGAAATGCTTTCAGCATAATTTTACAGGCCATGACTCTCATAACAGGATAGCTTTCAGGCTACATGCTATGCTTTTCCTGTGTGTCATGTTTAAATATCACATAATCGTGATATTACTCTGGCCTAATGCAAAAGGCCCATGGGCTACACAGCCCAGTAGCTACTGTGAGCATAAACATAGGCACAATGTTGTGCGCTTCTGAACAAGCTAGACAGGCCGATTAGCTCAAGGTCCTTTTTTCAGGAAAGACATTTCATTTTCATTGCAAGGTCTGACCCTAGATTTGAAACTGTATGCAGGCAGGGCAAGTATATTAGCAGTAGGTGGGGTGGGTGGTGGGAGGGAGGGGGGGGGGGTCGGAGATGGGGGTCAGCTGCTCAACAGTGCTCCTGGTTTCATGTTTTGCTGAAGGAAACAGTTTAGTTGGGTAGTTCCCTGCTGTTATGAGTCCTTGAACGCTGCATTTTTAAAGCAGAAAGACATCTGATGTGCATTCTGGTGGCTCAGGAACGTTAACAACAACCCAGCCGCATCTGTGCATCCAAACGCTGCGTCTCGACAGCTTGGGGCTGGCTACACTCGCACAGATGAGACTGTTTGTCAAGTCAAAAAGCGTAAACAAACCGCTAACATCTCCGTCCATTTTTAATGAACACAGACTTACGGATGTGTTGACACTGGCGTGTAAGATAAAGATAGGGCCGCTCAATATTTGGGGAAAGAATTAATTGATTATATGTATTAGGAGCTGTGGTATAACAGATCTGACGTCAACATAACTACCATTACCCTTTCACATTACTCCTTATGAATATTTAACTGCTAAACACGTAGCTATGAGGGCTATCATTTGTTAATCCTCTCATATCTGTCTGGCTTCAGGCAGCTGCCGAGTTTGATCAAGTTTTGTTTTATTGGTTTTAAATGTTCAGCCATGAACAATAATGCTGACAGTTGTTAGTGGGAAAGTGTGTGTTTATGTGTTAATGCTGGAGGCTGTAGCAAGTAGCCACTGCACACAGCAGCATCCATGTGTAGAGAAAATATAAACTCTCTCAATTCTTAGCTCAGGCTTTCTTTCCTGGTTACGCTCTGTTTCTCTCTGTTTTCCTTCACATCGGCCTACATCTTGAAGCCTGTCCCACTTTTGAAAATCTCTTAACCTCTTGTTGCCTTGACTGTGTGACTGCTGCCTGTCACGCTGACTCACTGTCTGCCTTTTTGTTCCTCGCCTCCACCTCATATTTCGCCTCAATAATTGTGTTGAACACCGTCAGTTCAGAGAAGATAATGAGGATTTCAAAAGCAATCTCAAAATCGTATTAAATGTCATTATGTAAAAACAATTATGTTAAATTCACCTCTCCCTCTTTCTCTTTACAGCTCCACCACCCAGCAGATTCAACAGGAGAGTGTCAGGTAAGGTGTGTGTGTGTGTGTGTGTGTGTGTGTGTGTGTGTGTGTGTGTGTGTGTGTGTGTGTGTTGTAATCCACACCTGAGACACCCCTGCCCGGCTGTCTCAGAGTCTGCGTTATACTGCGTGTCATGCACGTTGAGGCCATGCTGTGTAGACGTACTGATTTGTATGTTTTTGATAATGTGCGTATTTGCTTGTGTCCCAGGTTTAAAACACAGTGTTGAGAGACATCCCTGGGGTGTGTTTTGGGTCCTCTCTGTTTCTGTGGTCTTCTGTGTACCACGCTCCTGTTTTCTCACGCTGACTACCCGTCTAGTGTTTACACATAAGTAATTGAATGTCGTCAGCCGTCATGGAGCGCTGCACTTTAAATATGCTCTGCAGCTGATGTTTATCTTTACTGCTGTCCTCCTGTCTCTGTTGACCTGCTGTCTGTACCACAGCATCATAAAGGCTTGCGCTGTTCATTTGTGCAACTTGTCAACTCGGAACATCCAGTTGTACAGAGCTCCTTGTTTTTTTTATCATGTGGTCAACAAAGTTTTTCTGTTGATAAAAAAGTTGCCTGTAGACATGTAGTGGTTATGGTGAAAACATTCTGATTCTTTTTTGAGCCCCTAAGATAAATTGTGGTAACACAACAACAGAAATGGAGCGTAACTGTGTTGCATGTTTCCCCGAGGTGTTAGCAAGTCTACAAAATAGTTTTGTTGCAGGTGTTTTATGTTGGTGTTTCCTCGGCGAGACGCATTTCAACTTCTCCCGAGGGAAGAAGAAGCCAAATAGAATTATTAATGTTTTTAATAAATTCGAAAAAAAGGCTTTATGTGCTCACGCTTTCCTGAACCAATGTCGTTGGTGTGTTTTTGTGTTCCACCAATAATTGGTATAAGGTCCAGGACAAGATGTCACACCTTACAGAAACGTACAGGCCCTCGTACATTATGATGCAATACAAGATGTGTATAATTTTTTACGGGACTTTTATTTTTTGCCCGCACTGTCAGAAAGATATTTATTCAATACTATTGTCATGGAACTTCAGTGGAAGGCAATATATACTCAGGTGTTAATACACATTTTGCCGATCCATTTAAATAAGGTGGTCAAATATGATAAACACCTTTTTAAAACTGTTGCTTCAAAAATAATTGGATAACTGATTTAAAGCAGTATTCTGAACACAAATGGAGCTTTTGAGGAGTGACTCTTAGAAGTAATGTGTCACTGCCCTCTCTGAAAGTATCAAACCGGTTTCCCCTCTGAGCGGCCAGCATCACGCCGGGTGTGGTCCGCTGTTATCACCACTGTGCTTTGTTGCACCTGTAACCAAAGACCTTGGTGATAAGAAGCTGGAAGCTGATTGGTCAATGTATTGCTACATTGACACTCAGCAGTAGAGCTTTATGCTAGCATTTTGGACTGAAGGGAAGAAAAAAGAGACAAGAAGGCTTAAATAAATTGCGATAAATGGCCTAAAAATAATGCTGCGTAATATTTGTCTGCTTTTTTCTTTGGCTCTTGATTTGTTTGGGAACATACTGGAGACACCCACGGTACAGGTGTTATACGCTTACAGCTCAAGGGTGTATTATTATATAATAAAAGAGATGAATTACAGACAATACATCTGTTATTACACACACACACCTAACAGGAAGCCACCAGAGCGTGTAAAAGGGTAGTTTTCTTTTATTGCGAGTGTTAGTTAATGCAGGGCTATTGGTTTGGATTGAATTACATAGTTCAGGTGTTTCTGTTTTCCTGGTCTATAAATGTACACAAATGCAGATTCAAGACGGAATAGTTATTTATTTTACAGTTATAGCAAGTGTATTCAATATTTTGCCTTTTCTTGTCTACGTTGCCAGTCAGTCAGAGTATTTTTAAGCACATAATAATTTCCCTCTTGAGAAATATTTGCGGCTCTAAGCATTCTAAGAAATGTGGAAAAGCATTTACTGAACTGGTAGATGAGCAAGGTTAAAGGAAAGAGGTTGATCCCAAAAAGAAGATCTGAGCATTGCTGCTTTTTTGAAGAGTTGTGACCCAGTGGCCTAGTTTAGATTCTGAACCGTTCTTGAAATCGCAGCGGCTGGAAGTGTTGTCAAAGTTACACTGGGTAGTAGTTTATATATTTCTAGATCTTCTATCTTTTAAGAGTTATTTGAATGTGTTTAGCTAACTGCAGCTGGAGAAGGTAACACAGGACTAATTGATCCTTACCATTGTAGAAGAAAGATTTGATTTTATACAATCCTCATCTGAAACAACCCACGCTACATTCAGGAAGGAGACGGCAGCAACATTTTCTCCATCAGGGTTTTCACACATGAGAAATATCAACCCACAATCACATCTACATTTCATTTTCTTTGGCTTGAAAACAATGATGACATGATTACATATTTGCATTTGATTTAGTAACAAAACACATTTGAAGTTAGCATGGTAGACGTCAAATCTTATTGCTAATGGCAATGTGTGACCACACTAACATCTATGTATTTATTAGGGCTTCACAATTTAGAAAAAATAACTACTTGCAATTATTATGACTGATATTGCAAGTGCAATTTGATTCATGATTAGAGGGATAATTATTTAATCATAATTATTTTACATAACATCTTGTGTTCTGGGGTCATATCTCGTCTTGGGTCCTGATCATGTTCTAATGAACTGCATCACATTCTGTTTTGAGAAGCACTGAGGCTCTCATTTGAAGGTTTTTTGTTGGATTTGGTCCATTTTGTATTTACCTGGCCAATCAAGCTGAACTAAAGGAGTTAACATCAGAGGTCACACTGCTCCAAACATGACTGGTATGAATGCCGAGAGATAAGACATTCCACTCATGATTGCACACACACGCTCCCACAGACCGCCATGTGTTTTGTGGTAAATGTCATGTGAGGAGCGGAGTGTGTCTCGACAGAGTTTGGAGAAAACACAGATACACAGTGACAATTTGAAATGACCTTGTCAGTGTTTGTCACCCAGTGTGGGGAAACATGTCACTGTGTGTGTGGTTTCCTCACTTCTGAGCCCCTCCTGTGTGCCTCATTTTCTGTTATACAATATCTTTGTGTGTGTGTGTGCTTGTGTAACATCTAACCTTTCCCTGTACTGTGTGTGTATGGGTTTGGCCAGTAACTGAAATAAGTCTGTGTTCGAAACTTTGTGGGTTTTTTTGCTCATATTCTTGTGATTTTAAAACACTGAAACTCTTTCTTCCCTCAAAATGTATTGAACTTGATATACTGTGACCTATAAATTACTAGCCAACCAATTTGGGTTTTCGAAAAGATATCTAGAGAGCAGGGCGTTGTTTGTTTTGTTGCATTTGATAAAATACAATCATTTAAATGATAAAAACTGAGAGGAAATCGCTTAAATTAAATGAACGTTTATTAAGCAGTATTTAACATTGTCTGCATTGTCTGTTTGCAATGCATTTATTTAAAGAAATATACAAAATACATACGGTATAATACAAATTAAATAAATGTCCACAGGTCATTAAAAAAGGTCACTTTGTAAGTAAATTAATTGTGTTTTTCTGCTCGTAACAACAGCATTTATCGCCAGATAGAAATATCTCCTTATTTCTGAAAGAGAACGTAAACTTGCATAAGGAAATAAATGTTAGTGTAGTGTCCTTTCCTGGTGTTTGCTCATTGAATATAATAAAGAAATATGATGCACGCAGGCATCGGAATAAATCATGACTTTGCATGCATGCCAAACTAAAGATATTTTGTCACCATGATGGAAATCTGTTGTGTAGAATCTGCAGGCTTTGTTCAATCAGAATAAACATCTGTAATGGGAGTAAATTACAATGCACATGTGCTAACACACTCAGCATTTACAGTTGGAAGTCTAAATATGTTAAAAGTTATTTGATGATTTACACAAAAGTGAGTATAATCACAGAAATATATTGTAAACAGGTCCCTAATGTTGAGTCCAGAGTCCTCACTGCTGGGAACCCACAGCTGTGTCTGCAGAGACAAACCTGCCAAAGCTCAGTTATTGCATAAATGTTATGTTATGACATCACAGAATAAATGTCAGCCTGTCCCGTAAGAAACTGAACAGTTTGTGCTACTTGTTCCCTTTCCACGTGCGTAGAGGTAGTGTATTCTGACAGAGTGGTCACTACCTGCCAGCATCCTGTTAGCTTGTTGTTCTCAATACTATGTTGAGTTTTGTTTGTTGGAAACTCATTTCATCTAGTTGATACTCTGACCTAAGCCATGAAGAATGTATTAACATGGATTGTTTAATCTCTCGGGACATATTATTGCAGAGTGTGAAGTGTGTTTACATGTCTTCTCTGCAGTGTGTGCGGAGGCGTTCAACCCAGACGAGGAAGAGGAGGACACGGAGCCCAGGGTGGTGCACCCCAAAACAGACGAGCAGCGCTGCAGACTGCAGGAGTCCTGCCGGGACATCCTGCTGTTCAAAACACTAGACCAGGTACAACTGAGCCACACAGGAAGAGACACGTACACACGGGGACTTGTGACTAGCTTACTGCTTCAGTCGCCCTATAAAAACCACTCTGCATTCGTTCTGTTTCTCCACTCATTTCTTCAGGATTTCCGCTTTTAATTAGCCACTGCATGTAGAGCCACACGTACAGAAGTCACACCGACACTTATGAACCTTTTACTCAAGTGACCAAAGAAATGGAACGACTTTCATAATGTTGCACAATGGAGTAATAACCCTACAATTGGGTTAAATGTCCCTCAAATCAGCAACATCTAACTCGATAACATTTATTAACATATTAAAGATTCTCACGCTGGATTTATTATTAATAATGTGCACAACCATTAAACCAAAGATCATAACTTTAAAGTGGACCTATCATGCTATATTTGAATACTATAGTGTAGGACCATACCCATATAAGGCATATTTATACTTTTTATTTTTCAAAATACCAAACGGATCATGCATTTTAGCCATTCCTCATTTCGCTCAATTTAACACTGTCTTTTCATGGGCTGATTCAGCGAGAACAGCACCATCTACAGGCCTGGCATATGTACTACAGCGTCTCCAGCGCTTTCGAACGGCAATGTCCGTGGCTGTCTCCTCCTGATTGGTGGAGTTGGCCCAATAGCCGTAGCGCCACTTCTGTGACGTCACAGAAGTGTTCAAATCTGGATCAGTCTGTATCAGATCCGTTGCAGCCCCTTTTTAAGAGATTTGGGTATGGAGGAAAATAGAGAGGGTTGTGTTTTCTGACACTTGGTGAGTTCCCTGGAACACCGGGGACACATATTCATGTATAAAAGACGTACAAAAGTGCATTTTGCATGATAGGTCACCTTTAAGGTACCATGCTAAAGCCCCGGATGCCCAGGCCAGGCGACGCGCCTGTCAATATTTCATTAATTGTCTGGGTTTGGTCGTCCCTCAGTGAGGTTAGTTTTAGGTCTGACATTCTACAGACATTTCACTAAGCGACCAACAATAAATTACCATTTTGATTATGATTAGTCATGATTTTACATGATTATTTTAATAGAAAATAATAATACAAAAACAGTAGTTATCATTTCATGAGACCCATTGTTTGCCCATTAATACAATGTATGATAACTAAACTGGAAAAATAAGACGTAACACTTTAATTGATTTTTGTGTGTTTTCTATTATTATTTCTATGAAAATGTTGTTTTTTTGTTGTTGAAATATTTAGGATTTTTTCAATATCTTCAAAGTCATTCGACCTCATGACTCCAAATCAATGCAGCATCATGTTACTGTACTGGACAAGTCAGATTTGTTTATTGGGTTTTAGTACAACTTCTATTATATGAATATTTTATGCACAGTCAACACTTTTCACAGGCTGCAAAGTTTGGCCAAAATAAATTAATATTGGTGAGGACACTGGAACGCCATGATGTTTTATTTATACCTTGACAAATTATGCATTTTATTTATGTTGCTTAAAGGTTTCATTGGCTCAAAGAGATCAATCATATAACATGATGATGATATACTTTTACAATATGCACCCATTTGAAACAAATAAGATTCTCTAGACTTAATGTCTATTTTAACAGATTAAAGATGTCATGTCAGCCAGTGACTTAAGCAGCTTGAACTTCCACAAGTGGTTCCAATTTGTTAGCCCAAATCTAAAAAGTGCTAAATTAAAAGCTAATTTCAAGTAGATACTGTAGTTGATCTCATTTTCAGATTTATTTTCCACTTAATTGTATTTACATATAGGTAAGAGACAAAGGCCGTTTCTCAATCGCGAGGATGCTTGCTTGGTAGCACATGTCTTCCGAGTCACTTCCTTCAGAAGCTAGGCAAGAATCCTTCCTGGCATTCGGAAAACGAAGAGTGGAACAGGCTAGCAAGTGTGCAGGTGTGCGTCATATGAGAGGCCCCGCCTTACATTTTCCACCACAGATTTGGGAAAATTGGTCCGT